GAAGCAGATGCCCTAAAATCACACAAGCTCCATCACTTACAAGCTTAGATTTCCTTAGAAAAAAATAACATTCTGTTGCTGCTTGCAATGAGGAAAATATTCATACACAGTATTTGCTTTCTTTTTTAAGTAAAAGAATTCTTTAATGTTTTGGCTGTGGCGGGCCTTCGTTACCTGCTCTAGTTGCAGTGACGGGGATGTGAGTGGGTGGGCTGCTCTTCACCGTCAGGCCGGGCTTCTCACTGCGGGGGTTTCTCTGTTGCGAATCACAGGTTCTCAGCCCTCGGGCTTCAGGAGTGGTGGCACACGGGGTTTGTTGCTCTGTGACACATGGGATCTTCCTGGACTAGGGATTGAACCCAGGTTCCCTGCATTACAAGGCTGATGCTTAACCACTGGACCACCAGGGAAACCCCACAGTATTGCATTTTGGTTGATTTATGCTTCACTTCCAACAAGACTGGAAGATGTGAAAGTTCTATGTTAAGTGAAACGTGCTGACTGCATGATGATGACTATAGCCAGCAATATTAACCATGTGCTGTATTTGAGACATTGCACTGATAGCTTTATTCTGTTCATTAAAACGCTCACCACAGCCAGTAGGCAGGCATCAATATATCATCTTAATGATGAGCGGCTGAATCTTGATGATGTAAGTAGCATCTTAAAGGCAGCTGGAAAGTATGGAGCTTGGGATTTGACTCTCACAGTCTACAAGGAGATGTCGTGCAAAGTGGACCAAACAGCAAGTTGATAGTTGGACTAAGTGATCTGATGGTACCTTTAGAGCCCTGGGATTCTGTGGTCTTTGTGGTCAACCGGCTCCCGTTTATAATCTATTTCTCCAGAACATCTCTGCTTCCTCTTGGCTGGCATTTAATCAGCTCCTCACTAGTTGGGACTCAAGAAACCCCTGATCATAGACAGACCTTGAAGTGAATTTGGGATGTGCCATCATTGGGAAAGAGTGGTGTTGGCTTCACCTGTGGGCTCTGGATCCAGGATGTCTGAACTTGAAACATCTCAGCTTCTAACTGGCCTCACCAGCTTAAGCAGGTTACTAACTTCCTCTGCCTCAGCTTCTCCATGATAAAAGGGAAATAGCCAGAGACCCTCTGTAGAGGATGGTTGTGAAGATTCCGTGAGTCAACATAACTAAAGCTCTTGGACAGGTATCTATCTGGCCCACAGTGAGTATTCCACAAACGTGCACTATTAAACATAGAGCTGTGTAGAAATGGAAAGAAAACGAGTCAGAATGAGCAATCCTGAATTATACAACACTCCTTGGGAGCAGAAAATCAAATTCATCTCAGAGCCAGCTCACATAGTACAATACCCTTTTGAATCCTTGAATTTCCTTACAGCATGCATCATTTGAAGGGGAAAAACCTTATGAGCATGGCTAAGATTCTCACTCCTCCCCCTCTCCCACCTGAGATGCAAGCAATTAGTGGCAAGCTGAAGGAGACAGAGAAACTTTTGTTCAGCACAGTTCCTCCCAGTAAGAGAGTGAGGTAGCCCTGCGTGTAGTCAGGAGAATCCTACCATAAGCCTTCTGGGCCGGAGGCTATTCTCTAGAGGCCCTTGAAAATTGCCTTCCAAGAAGGAGGTGCACTTCTCAGAGGTGGGCCCTGTGTTTGCAGAACACCAGGTGGGTCTGTACACGTAAGTATCGAGGAGACGTGCTCTGCTTAACGGCAGAGGTGAGGGAGACTTTGAAAATAGAATAGGCGATGGGATCTAGAAATAAAGAGGGCCTTCAGAGACTGATGTTACTGAGGGAGCAGGTGGAGAGAACGGAGGAAAAACATGACTAAACAATCCCAGAAGAGGCGCAGATGCTAGAAAGAAACAGTCCCTCCATGCCACTCCAAAGGGTGAGCGGTAAGGAACGAGGTGAAATTTCTAAGATGACATTTCTCTTTCCTATAGGGGGGATTTATTTTTATACAGTCATATGTTCAGAAATGGAAGTTACTGCTTGGATTAGGTGATGAGCTCACCAGTAGTGGAGGCATTTAAGCAGTGAAGGGTTGCTCACTGAGAGATTAATTAGCTTGGGATTCACTTGTTTCTAAAAGAGAAACACTGACTTGTGATTTTGAATCGTGCCCCAGACAGGGTGGAATCCTGGAGCCTATCCTCCTCCTCCCTTGTGAAATTTTATGAGGATAATTGAGTTAAAATGAGGCTGCCAGGGTGGACCCTAATCGCATGGTCTGGTGTGTTTATAAGACGAGATTAGAACACAGACACTAAAAGGAAGGGCTTCCCAGGTGACACCAGTGGTAAAGAACCCGCCTGCCAGTGCAGGAGATGTAAGAGCTGCAGGTTCGATTCCTGGGTGGGGAAGATCCCCTGGAGGAGGGCATGACAACCCGCTCCAGTAGTCTTGCCTGGAGAAGCCCATGGACAGAGGAGCCTGGTGGGCCACAGTCCATGGGGTCACACAGAGTAAGACACCACTGAAGCGGAAGGAAAGACCGTGGGCAGACACAGGGAAGATGGCTGTCTACACAGCAAGGACAGGGGCCTCTGAGGAAGCCAACCTTGCTGATAGCTGGATCTTGGACTTCTGGCTCCCCGAGTTAGTAGAAAATTAATTTCTGCTGTTTAAACCACCCCAGTCTTTGGTATTGCTATGGCAGCCCTAGCAAATGAAGACAGAAGAGCAGTGACCTCTAGGTGACCTTTATTTGACAGAAGGGGAGCTTAAGCCTCAGAGAGATTAAGTGATTTGCCCCAAGGTAAGCGATGAAAGATGATTTGAACCAAGTCAGTCTGGTTCTAGTGTGTGTACTGTTTCTGCTCTGTGCTGCTTCTTAAGTGCAGGATGCCATTTTCGAGTGCTGTAAGAAATAACAGTTGAGATCCTCAAGCTAATTGTTCCCTCGGTAAGCGTCCCACCAAATGCCTTAAATACCTCCATTGCTAGAGAGCTCACCACCTATTAAAGAAGCATTTTTGAACATCTGAGCATGTAAAAATAAAGTTTCCTTATATGGGAAACAAATGTCATCTGAGAATACTCACTCAATTCTTTACATCTCTCTCTTTGGAGCAGCATGGAAGAAGTATTTGTTTGTGTCCCTGGAAAGTGCTTCAAGTTCCGTTAGCCGACAGTTACGTCCGTATTGTCTCTCTCTTCTCAAAACAAAACAATGACAAAATCATGAAAGCATCATCATGTGATAATATTTCCAAATTCTTTCTTTATAACACTAAAATTAGGTCAACAGAGAGTTGCCTAGTCCAATTAGCAAAGCCATCCTTAAAAAATGGACAAGCATGATTTGAGATGAGTGTAATTTGGCATCCTTACCAATTCATAGGCACAGGAAATTATTCACCACCAGTTTGCCTTCTCCCTGAGCCAAAGACATATTGAGAGTGACCTAGAGCATGGACTCGGGCTGCCAATGGATGAAGCAATGAAGTGAAAATCACCATCTGTTAAGTGGAAATGAGAGCCGCTGAGAGGAACCTGGAGGAAGCGGCTTGTCTCAAAGCAGAATCCCAAGACGGGTGCCCACAAAAACCGTGGCGAGGAAGAGTCCCGTAGGTAGCTCCATCCCCACCATGCACTCCAGCACATGGCCTGGCTGGGGGAGCCTGCGCTGTGGGGCTAGAGTTCTCAGGATGCTGGCTCAGGTCGAGATGCGCTAACGGTAGGGAGGGGCATGTGACAGCCTCTCCATCTTTCCCATTCCCTGGCCGTCATCCCCTCAACTCCAGGGTTCAAGTCATTCCAAATCATCGTCAAGGCCATGTCAAGGTCCCCACCATGGAGAGAAAGGGAAGGCGATGCTCTCTGAGCTAAGTTGGAGACCAAAGAGATACAGAGGACTTGTGTAAACATCACTGAAGAATTTCGACTTGATTCAGCCAAAGGACCAGAGGGTACTACCTGGAACCAAAAGATACATTGAGAATGTCTGAGTGTAGAGCAGAAGAGAAGAGTTTAGATGACTGATGTGCAGACATCTGAGGAACATAATATTAGCTGTCACCATGTGATGACACAGGGAGGGATATGTATTTTGAAATACTTTTTAAGTAATATATAATTTTCTACCTTCAAATGTATGCAAATATGCAAAGAAAGCTGATAAAGAGAGGCAGAGTAAAGAGTCTCAGAGAACTGGCTTTAATTAAATTACCCCATTAAGTATTTCTTAATGGCTTCTTCTAATGTGCCTGAACATTTACTATGAAGTACATTAAAACCTTTCTTTCTCTCCTAAGAGCAATAAAGAGGATGAAATACCTTGACAAGCTTAAAATAAATGGACACAAGTGAGTTGAAAACAAACAAAATAATGGAAACCAAAAGAGGCACCCCCCAGACTAAAATCTGACAAAGTCTTTTTGACTTTTGTTTATACAACTCCAACATAAATCTAAGTGTGATACTATAAAACTTCACAAAGGGCTTCTAAAGTTTATCTGGAATAAAGTAAGCGTAGGACATTAGCCAAGATATTAAAAAAAAAATGATGGGTAGAAACTGCCTCTCCAGGTAGCAACTGTAATAAGTCTAAAATAATTTAAATAGTATTTAAATGGTAATTCACTATTACCAGCCACTTGGTGCCAGCATGGTCACAGATTAAAATGCATATCAGGTCCTAGTATTACGTGAGGGTCTTGAGCAGAGCTCAGGACATTTTTCTGTAAAAGGCCAGATAATAAATGTTTAGACTTTGTAGCTACCCAGTCTCAGTTGCAACTTTAAGCTCTGCTGTTGTAGCATGAAAGCTGCCATAAACAACATAAATGTGTTCCAATAAAACTTTATTTGCAAGAACAGACAGCTGACTCAATTTGGCCCACAGACTGTAGTTTGCCACCCTCTGGTATCTGCTCAAAATCTAGAATTCAGAGCACACATGGGCAATTGTCATGGAATTCAGAACTTTTCTGACTTCTTAGGTAGAACTCTGTGGTAGATTTAAAAAAAAAAAAGAATCAGCCCCAATTCTTTGCAGCTTCTCCCAACAAGAATGTAGTCTATTTTTCCATCCTCTGACTTGTTTTGCTGTGATGTCATGTCAAGTAAAGCCTGGGCCCCAAGAGGAGATGCAAGCTTCTTCTGTCACTCTTGGACCTCAGTTTCCATGGCAACGGGTCTAGTTTTTGTTGTTATTGTTGGAGGATCTTTCATGGAGGAGAATCCTGGTGCCCAGCCATTCTGGGAGTTGAACAAATTCACCAGTAAGTCCCACTCAAGGTCAGCTAAGCCTGGATAAATAAGCAGACAAGCTAGCCGAGTCCAACCTAAGTACTGACCCACAGACTTACAACATCCATAATTGATGTTATGCTAAACCACTACATTTTGAGATGATTTATATGTAGTAAAAGGTGATTAAACCATTCTGCCACTCAATATATGAAGCAAACTTATTTTGTAATGTAGGCTTTCCAAAGGGAAGAACAGTTAGGAAATCAACTGTGCTTTTGTTTGTACACTTGTTCTTAATACCCATTTGCTTAACTAGCTTCTCCTGCTTTGATATCTGATTTGATTGCATGAATATATTAAAGAGGATTAGATTCTTCATCCCCAATGCTGTGGGGATACAGGCATACTTTTGAAATACTAATATACAGAAACCTGTTATCAAGGCATAATCATTTTTGTTTATGACCATATTGGCACCGAGTGGCTAATAATATTGCATTAACTGTCTCAGACTAATGAGAAAAGAATAAAGCAGATTATCATGTAAATAATGTGTTTATGTCTGGATCAGTAGAAGAAAATGCTAGTGAGCTGCATGAGACAAGATTTTTCAATAGTTTAGAGTGAGACACACAGAGAAAATTAAGTCTGTATGTGGCAAAGAGCAGTAAAGGCATGAAAAATTCAACAAGACTTGTCCTGTAGCAACTGTGATCATCCATGTTACAATCAGTATTTCATTCTAGCAAAGTAACTTCACCTATCATATTAGTGTTGTCATTTGGAATTTCATTGTTTTCTTGTGGGTTTTGGCATTTGCGTTATAAATTTTCTTTGTTTCTGTTGCTGTGTTAAGGAGTTTGTTATTCTCTCAAAGTAAGAGCATTGCCTTTTTCTTTTCTTTCCTGGCTGCACACCGTGCATCATGTGGATCTTAGTTCCCTACCCAACTAGAAATTGAAGCTGTGACCCCTACACTGGGAACACAGAGTCTTAACCCACTGGACCGCCAGGGAAGTCCATAAGAGCATAGCCTTTAACCTTGCTAACCCCACTTCTGATGCAATTCACTGGGGTAATCTGGATTAGATGCCAACAGACTGAGAAAATATCTTCCCTTCTCTGGGCTTCAGTCAATCACTAAAATATGTTATTCTAACTTGAACTGTGGTTCTCAAACTTCAGTAAACATGTTAAGAATGCATAGTTATGAGATTCATCTTCAGAGATTCTCATTAAGCAGTGAAGGTAGGACAAAAATAAAATATAAGGCAAAATTGAAAGATATAAGATAGAAATAGACAATTTAACAAAACAGCTGAATAGTGCCACACTTTCAATAACATACAGAGCAACTAGACAGAAGATAACAAGTAAACAGAAGACTTCAACTTGATAAACCAAAACTGAACCTAACAGACTTATGTCGAGGACTCCATCCAACCCTGGCAGACACACCGTCATCTCAAGCACACATTCTCCAGGACAGACCACATGTGAGGCTGTAAAGCAAATCTGAATAAATTTAAAAGAAATTAAATCATACAAAGTATGTTTTCTGACCACAGCGGAATGAAATTAGAAATCAATAGCAGAAGGAAATTTGGGAAATCTCCAAGTATGTGGACATGAAACAATACACTGCTAAATAACCAAGAGGTCAAAGAAAAAAAATCATGAGAGAAATTAGAAAATACGTCAAGATGAGTGAAAACAGAAACACAGCATACCAGAGCTTATGGGATTCAGTTAAAGCAGTATGTAGAGGGCAATTTATACCTATAACTGCGCTATTAAAAAAGAGAGAGACCTCAAGTTGGTAGCCTAACTTCTTACCTTGAGAAAATAGAGAAGTAAATGTTAATGAACCAAGCAAAAGATTAGATCAGCATAAATCAGTGAAATAGAGAACACAAAAGCAAGAGAGAAAACTAATAACTTGTTCTTTGGAAAGATCAACAAAGTTGACAGTCTTTAGGTAGACTAACCAAAAAAAAATAAAAGAAAATACTCAAATAACTAAAATCAGAAATGAAGAGAACTTGTTGCTAAGAACTTTACAGAAATAAAAAGGATTATAAGAAAATGCTAGGAACAAGTTTATGCCAACAGATTAAACATCCTAGATGAAATGGTTAAATTCCTTAAAAAAAAAAAAAAAACAGAACTACTAAAACTGACTGAAGAAGATAGTTCTAACTAATCTCTACTTCTAACAAGTAGAGACTGAATCAGTAATCAAAAAATTTTCAACAAAATGTCCAGAACAACCTCCGTTGGTGAAGTCTACCAGTCATTTAAAGAATTAGCACCAATTCTTCTCAAATTTTTGCAAAAAATAATAGATCACTTCCCTCAAGTCATTCCTTGAAGCAGTGTTATCCTGATACCAAAATCAAACTACAACATCCCAAGAAAACTACAGATCAATATCCTTTATGAATGTAGATGCATAATCCTCAACAAATTACCAGCAAACCAAATCAGCAACACATGGAAAGGATTATACAACCCAACCAGGTGGGATTTTATCCCAGGAGTATAAGATTGGTTCAACAATCAAAAACTATCAATGTAATGCACCATATTAATAGAATATAGGACAAAAACCACATAATCACCTCAGCAGGTGCAGAGAAAGCATCTGACAATATCTAACACCCTGTTATGATTAAAAAAAAAACCACTCAACTAATCAGAAACAAAACACTTTCCACCTGAGAATGAGCTTGGACATTATATCCAAGACAAACATGGAAGGATTCTGAACCGTGGAGAGAAGGCAGGCCGGGTAGGAACCTCCGGACCCCGGGAATGAGAAGGTGGGGATCTCCCTGTGTTTTCTTTCTGCCTCATGTATCTCAGATTTAGAGCTGAAGGAAACAGCAACTCAGAAGCACCAATGGCTGCCACCAAAATGCCCCAATGAAAGCCCTTCCAGACAAAGGACCAGGAAAGAGGCAGCCTAGCGAGACAGAGACCTTTTAGACAATAACCACCCTCTGCCCTACAAACACCCCCAGAAAAAACTGGCTGCCCACCCACACCAACATGTGGAGCCAGAGTCCCTCCCCTCTGTGGAGGCCGGGCTGAGGGGCCCCTGTCTCACTGGGATGACGGCCATGTAGGGAGTCAGGGCTGTCATGCCCGCCCACAGTAATAAGGCACAATCCCCCTTCCCCAGGTCAGTGGACACCACGTGGGCAGCCAGGACCCCATCCCACCCAGCAGTAAGTAGGAGACTCCTCCTTGGGTGTCACTGGAGGGACCCCAGGAGAGATCCCAAGCTCCTGCCTCCACCTGGTAGGGAAGAGTTGGTGCGAATGTGAAATGGGACAATCATGATAGTAAACAGGCTGTTTCTTAGGAAAATGAACATCCACCTGCCTTTTCATCTAGCCATTTCACCCACAGGTCACCCCCGCCCCTCCAAATAAATGGAAGTTCAGGTCCACACAAAGACTTGTGCAAAAACACCCCTAGTTGCTTCATTTCTAATAGACAAATACTGGAAACCAGTCCAAATATCCGTCAACAAGTAAATGTGTAGACGTGTTTTGGGATGTCTATTCAGTGAAATAGTGCTTAGAACAAAGAGAAAGAAACCATCGTTGCCTGCAACAACATGCATGAATCTCCAAATAATTACCCCCAGTGAAGGAAAGTCATATGAAAAAAGTACATACTGCATGATTCCATTTTATAAGCTCACTACTGATACATGGGACTTTCCTGGTAGTCCAGTGGTTAAGACTCCATGCTTCTAAAGAAGAGGGTGTGAGTCCGATCCCTGGTGGGGGAACTGAGATTCCACATGCCACTGGCATGGCCAATAAATAAACAAACTAAAACACATTAAAAATTCACTACTTGTACAAATGAACTTATTTACAAAACAGAAACAGACTCACAGACTTTGAAACCAAACTTCTAGCTACCAAAGGGGGGGTGTGGGGGAGGGGATAAATGAGCAGTTTGGGATTAATACATACACACTACCAAATACAAAGCAGATAAGCAACAAGGACCCATTGGATAGCACAGGCAGCTCTACTCTGCGCTCTGTAACAACCTGGATAGGAAAAGAGTCTGGAAAAGGATGGATAGATGTGTAGCTGAATCACTTTGCTGTGCAACTGAAACTAACACACACACACACAATCCACTACTCTGTGATACCTAAAAGTAGGTTGCTGATCACCTGGGAACCTGAGAGTATGAGGAAGCGTGTAAGGAAGACGTTACTAAGGGAGACACAAGCAAACTTGGGGAAAGTGCTGAATTTGTTTGTTATCGTCATTCTCTGTGTTCATCCTCACGCACCAGTACTCCTGTTCTAGTCCTCCTGGTTCTGGAACCCTGATGAATTAAATTAGATGTCTTCACTAGGTTAAAAAATATCCATTTCTCCTTTAAATTTGAAAAAAAAATTATAAAAGTAAGGTTTGGGGCAAAGTATAAGATTTTATGACTCAGTACTCCTGGAAAGTGTTGCACTAGAAAAGCAGACCACTTAATAAATGCATAGTCCTATTTGCACAGGCCTGCAAGCTGAATTCTGAATGTTTCAGTTCAGAAACTAGGGCTGAACACTGGAGCCAATAGAGCCGAAATTCTCTGAATCCAGGGAAATCAATTAACACCTTAGCATGCAATAAACCGGGATGCATAATAGATCATGACTTTAAATTTATTTTAATAAATGGCCCAATAATTTGAAGTTCAAATAAATAATTCATCCTCCTCTCTCCCTTAGCATTACAGCTTGGAAGATATATGATAAGCTGAAATCATGGTGCAGTCTTCAGTGGGTCCTTTTTACTGGATTCTAGTCTTAAAGGCGTGACTGGAATGGCTCCTGAAAAAGGTAACAGAGCCCTGCACTCTCCTATCTGCCAAGCACGGGAGTGAGTCTAGATCCGGGGTGTTGCCGTAGCCCACAGTGAGAGCTGAGGCCCTGCATCTCTGGTGCCTCTCACCTCCCTCTGCCCTCCAGGGACCTGCTACTCCACCTTTACCCTAAGGGACCTCGCTTCCCTCTACTCCACCCTCCAAGCGAGCCTGCCTTTCACTTCCCGCTGCTCTACAGGGAATTACTTGGATCATTCATATTGGAAAACTTGCCATACCGCTAGAAACATTTCTTCTGCCTTTTAAAAAAGAGAATTATTTTTAATTGAAGGATACTTGGTTTATAACAGTGTGTTGGTCTCTGCCATACATGAGCACAAGTTAGCCATAGGTGTACATGTGTCCCCTCCCTCTTGAAACTCTCTCCCCCCTCCCACCCCATCCCGCCCTCTGGGTTGTCACAGAGCACCAATCTGAGCTCCCTGAGTCATGCAGGGAATTTGCCTCTACTTTACATATGATAATATGTGTGTTTCCATACTACTTCTCCGTCCGTCCCACCCTCTCCTTCCCCCACCTCTGTCCACAAGTCCATTCTCTCTGTGTCTCCATTGCTGCCCTGCAAATAGATTCATCAGTACCATCTTTCTAAATTCCATATGTATGCATTAATATATTTGTTTTTCTCTTTCTGACTTACTTCACTCTGTGTAATAAGCTACAGGTTCATCCACCTCATTAGAACTGACTCAAATGTGCTCATTTTTATGGCTGAGTAATATTCCATGGTGTATATGTACCACAGCTTCTTTATCCATTCATCTGTAGATGGACATCTAGGTTGACTCCTGCCTTTTTTAACTAGACCATCTCCCTTTCCAGGAACTTAGCATCCAAAAGTGAGACAGAAACATTTCAAGTGTGTTCTTTCAATCGCTTGAGGCAAAATCAAAGATCATCTTTATACTAGGCACAGAAACATCCATCCTCAGGGGCATTTCCTCTTAAAAAACGAACTGTTCTGATTAAATCCTTGCCAGGTTAAATTAAATCTATGGGGAAAAAAATGTTCCAAACTGTATTATGTTTTTAGAAACCTCTTCTAACTGTCCTAAAGATGGAGAAGGGGCAAGCAAATTTTATTTCATTAATAAAATATATCCCCAGTTCCTAACACTCACTCTGCAAGTTTTTATTGACCACCTACTATGTGCTGATCACTTTTTCAGCATTTGTGATATAGCCATGAGAAAACAGGTAAACATTCCTTTCCTTAGAGAGGACATTCTAGAGGAGGCAGAATGGCCTGTAATAATTAAAAGAAGTAAGCATTAGAGTATGGGAGAAATAATTACGTTTTAGGGAGAAGAGTGAATTCCAGGATGGAGATAGATTGCCAGGGGGAGAGAGGGCTGCAATCGCATAGATAAGGAAAGCCCATCCGGAGAAGGGGTACTTGAACGTTGGCTTGAAGGAGATGAGATGAGCCACACAAATATCGCAGTGAAGGGGTTCCCGGCAGGAGAAGCAGCAGGGATGGGGCACATAGCAGCAGGGCTGCCATATTGGAGGGACTTCATGGAGACCCATGTAGCCAAGGAAGAGACTAGATAAGACTCAGAGAGTTAATGGGGTCAGGTCACCAAGATGCTTGACCCTAAGGACTTTGATCTTGCTCTGAATAAAAGGGGGAAACACCAAAAAGTTTTGAGCAGGATATGACATGATCTGACTTGAGTTTTGTGGGGGTTTTTGGCTTGTTATTTAATTGTGATAAATATTATCACATATTTGATACACATTACATAAAACATACTCTCCTAACAACCCTTTTCATCTTGCAAAACTGAAACTCTGTAATCATTAAACAACATCTCCCCCTCCTCACTCCCCCCAGCCCCTACCACCATGCTCCTTTGCATCTCTATCAGTTTGACTACACAAGGTACTCAATATTATTGGAATTAAACAACATGTGTGGTCGTGTAACCAGTTTACTTTGCTTAGAATAATGTCTCCCAGGCTCCTCCATAGTATAGCATGTGTCAGAAGTTTCTTCCTCTTTAGGACTGAATTATACTCCATTGTGAGTATATATACCACATTTTTTTTATCCATTTATTCACAATGGACAGTTGCATTGTTCTCACCTTTTGGCTATTATGAATAATGCTGCTATGAATGTGGGTGTGCAAAGAGCTCTTTAAGACCTCCTTTCAACTCTTTTGGATAAATAAACATGCACAAGAGGAATTGCTGGATTGCACTGCAATTCTATGTTTACTTTTTCAAAGAACTGCCATACTATTGTCCATAGCATTAACTTGAGCTTCAAAAGGAGCACTCTTGCTGCAGTGTTTAGTGATAGACTACAGGAGGACAAGAATGATCTCAGGGAGGTCACCAAGAAGACCTCTTAGGTATGTTTCCCTGCCAGACTCCAAGATAGAGATCTGAATGAAGAAACTTTAGCAGGGATCACCTTGGATTTGTGTGGGGAGGGGAAAACAAAAACAGATTTAACAGAGGGAGGGCTTTTTCAGAGATGCAGGTGCAAGAAAGTTTCATATGATCCCAGGGATCTTGGAAGCTGCAATGGTCCTTTAGTATTGTCCAGACTTAAGAGAGCTGTGTCTTTCTACCCCATAGGGGCCAGAGACTAGATGCATACTCACTCCAAGACAAAGATGGGACTTATGTTAGGCAGCTCTCTTCAAGGGAGGACAATTCCCAGTGAGGGACTCACTGAGAACCTTTAGCCACCAACCCTTCCACAGTGGGGGGAATGCAGGCTCAGTTCTGAGGGGGCCACAGTGTCCGGGAAGCACACCAGAGCACCCTCCACACAGGCTACTGCAATAATCTGTGTAACTGGCAATGCTACTTGGCCAAGGGTCTTTGCAGTCAAGATGAGGAGAAGTGCTGAATTCTTGAACTGTTTTCAAAGTAGAGTAAAAACTATGTGTTGATAAACTGGATGTTTGATGTGAGATTTAACAAAACTAAGCTAGAATGAAGCCAAAACTGTTGACCTAGCAACTAGAAAGATCAAATTGTCATGACCTGAGATAGAGAAGACTCTTGGAGGAGCAGGTCTTGGGTCGGGGGTGATGGTGTGTGGATGCTCAGTAATTTAATTGTGGACCTGGGAACAGGGGCTACTGTTGAGCAGTAGTTGAATATAAGAGCGGGTTTCCCAGTGAAGTTTCATCTGAGGATATAAATATCAAGGTCATTAGCAAATGGATGGGACTGGAGGCCATGAGCCCTTAAAAGATCACACAGGAAGAGTAGTTAGAGAGGGGAAGGAGGCGTCTGAGGACAGAGTCACCGGGAAGTCCAGCTTCACGGGAGGGGACCCAGCCCCGATGGAGAGGGGCAGTCAGTGTCGTCCGCTCTGCAGTCGAAGCTGCCGTCCTTAGGTCCTTCCTCCTTTTCCAGCTGTGTGTGCCCTGGAAGGCTGCCACCACTTGATCCATCCCATGGGTTTGCTCACCCTCCGCTTCCCCTTTGGGTTTATCCAATGAGCATCAGAGGATACAGGCGGAGAGATGGGCACTTCTCCCTGCCATCCTTCCTCAGAGCAGTTCTGGCAGGGGTTAATTCTCCAGGACCACACTCTGTGCACCCCCTTTTTTGGCTCCAACTCCCGACAAGTTCCCGTAACATTTGCACCCTTCACCCCTTCAGGTCTGAAAATGCCAACAGCTTCCTGGGGTGATTATTCTTCAGGTTAATAACATCCCTTTGCTGTCATGCTTCTCTAAACAGTCCGTTCATGAAAATGTCTCTCTACAATCCTTGCTATTTTATCTATATCTGCTAAGACCTCAACTAATATACATTTTTGTGTGTGCAGTCAGTCATGTTCGACTCTTTGTGACTCCAGGGACTGGACCCCACCAGGTTTCTCTGTCCATGAGATTTTCCAGGCAAGAATGCTGGAGCAGGTCTCCATTTCCTACTCCAGGGGTATCTTCCCAACTGAGGGATCAAACTCATGTCTCTTGTGTCTCCTGCATTGACAGGCAGGTTCATTGTATGTGTTGTCCTGGAAGAAAAGAAACATTTACAATTTTGAAGGAGAAGGATGAAGTCAAAAGCACTACTCACAGTTTAACTAAGATGCAGGCTCTATAATGACCACAGGGTTTCACAGCAGGGAACAGATGTTGATGTTATCAAGTCATGTCTTTATAAGTGGGACAAGGGCTCAGAGTCGAAGAGAGAAAAGGAAGAAAAGAATTTGAAACAGCAAGAGGAGACAACTATTTTAGGGAGTTTTTCTGTAAACAGGAGCAGAAAATGGAACAAAACAGGGAAGGAAAAGTGAGATCAGCGCTGGGTTTTTAAGGTGGGAGAAATAATAGCGAGCTTTTATGCCCAGGGAAGCCATCTAGTCGAGTGAAGAAGTGGTGATGCAGAAAGGAGTGGAAAATCACCATCTCTGTGTCCTTGAGTAGGAGAAGGGGGTATGACCGCATGTGGGAGAGGAGGGGCTGGCCACGAAATGTTACTTTGAGAATCTATCCAGGGTACTTGGAGAGAAGGCAGAAGGTGTAGGGACAGACGCTGATAGGTGGGGAGGTGTGGGCGTGAAAACATGTGGAATTTCTTTTCTTATCAATTCTGTTTTCCTAACTAGAAGCAACACCATCCACTGAGAGTGAGGATGAGGGGCAGATTGCTGGCCTGAGAAGGACAGCGTGTCACCACGCAGAGTATGGGAGAGGGACCAGACCAGGAGAAGGTGTAAAGATGGTGAGGTCACATGAAAGAGCACACCTTAGCGGTTCAGCTCCCCTGGTGGCTCAGACAGGAAAGAATCCCCCTGAGGTGCAGGAGACCCAGGTTCGAGACCTGGGTTGGGAAGATCCCCTGGAGAAGGAAATGTCTACCCACGCCCGTACTCTTGCTTAGAGGTTCAGAGTCATATATTTTAAGTGGGACCGTGGTTTTTCTGGGGTTCTCCTGCCATATTTAGCTACTTGGATGCAGGCACAGAGCAGCAAAGAA